AAGGAAACGAAAGGAAACGAAAGGAAACGAAAGGAAACGAAAGGAAACGAAAGGAAACGAAAGGAAACGAAAGGAAAGGTGAAATACAACTTCTGTCACCAGCAAAAATAATTTTTTCTGACATGTTCCTCTGCTATGAAACTCGCCCAGAGGCATAACTGAGAGAACCTGAGAGGAGGTAAACGCTGCCCTCCATCCAGACTTCTATGTAGGCCTCTCTGTATTTGTACTTCAGGAAGTGAAAAGTCACTTTTTCTTACTCTCACACAGGTTTTGCGGGGCCTGCAGCTTAAAAAATGAGGGCCTCATTACAACACAGGAGACAAATTACTAATACAAAAGAAATACGATTTAGAGGAAGAGGTCCTAAGGCTAGTCTGTTGCTGCTCTGAGGGCTGAAAACAATGGAAGGAATTAAAGCTCTGAGCTGGCAAAGTAGTAACATTGTCAAACATTTATTAAATTCCACTCAACACTGACTCAGCAAGTACCAATCCAACACCATTTTGTTACTGCGGAGGACACACGAGGATTTAGAAACGTAGTCACCACCATTATAAAGTTGTAATGCAGTTGGAAAAACATAAAAGTTATACAAACTGAGACTTGCAGTACTTTTCAGACTTACTAATTTTTTCTTTTAATTTCAGGAATGTGGCAGATCGAGAAATTGGAAAGGTTTGTAATCGTTAAATCTGTAATTGATGGATTCACAAGGTAAAGAAGAAGCAAATACTAAGATTCAAAAACTGACATTTACCGAAATCAATCATTAAAAAATATTTTGGGGGTGACTGGGTGGCTCAGTCAGTTGAGTGTCCGACTTCAGCTCAGGTCATGGTCTCACGGTCCGTGAGTTCAAGCCCCGCGTCAGGCTCTGTGCTGACAGCTCAGAGCCTGGAGCCTGCTTCGGATTCTGTGTCTCCCTCTCTAGGTCTCCTCTCCCACTCATGCTCTATCTCTGTCTCTCAAACATGAATAAATGCAAAAATAAAAAAATTTTTTTTAATATTTTGAACAACAGTCATGACAAAGACAACAGAAACCAATCCAGTGGTTGGCCTTCTCCAGTTTTAACACTTGAAGACATGCATCACGTACTTACCATCAGTTACAGTCAACCTCCTCACAAAGGTTTCATTTTCTCCCATTCCGGCACTGAAACCACAGCGGTAGAGTCCTGAGTCAGAGACCATGGCCTGGGGCATGATGATGAAGGTGCTGGTCATTCCCGGACTACAGTCACTCGACACCCATCTTTGGTATTTTGAAGTATAAATTTTCCCTTGGGACAAGTTGCAGCTGGTCAAGAGGTCAATCTGATGGGGCTGGATCTTTTCCCAGGTAATTTGTTGTACTGGCCACTTTGTTGGAAGCTCACAGGAGAGTGTGATATTTTTTCCAGGTTCTGAGACCATGAGGCTATCTGATGGCACAGCTATCTCGAAATCATCTGAAAACAAGAAGCAAATGATTACACTTATGACCTCAGATTTTGGGGTGTGAAGGTGCAAGCTACCCTTAAAGTTCTATCGAAAGGAATGGCGATGTTATTTAATAGTTTCATCAGCTATAAATGATATCTTTATGACACATTTTTTGTAAGAAAAAGACTTTTGAAAGAGGCTAGTAAATAAATGAAAAGGAGGATATTCTTGTTCACACACATTCCCTTAAGTTTTACATGGTTAACCATATAACAAGAAACATAATAAAAACCACTAGTGTTTTCCTCGACAGGGATCTTATCAAGAGGCTGAATTTCACAAGACTATTCTGCAGAAATGCTGGGCTGGCGACTCAAACACTGTATCCAGATCGTAGTCATGCTAAGATTTTAATGGTCATTGAAAAGATGACCATTGAATAAATACATGCATAAAGTTTTTTTTCAGATATATAAATATAATATATATATTTTCCAGATATGTCTTATGCATACATAGAGTAAGGGTCCACATGTGATTTAAATTCCTGGGTACCAAGGAAGTCCTTCAATATTTCTTCCTTCCACCATAGCTGAAATACCCAGCAGAGCACTCAGCAAATATTCACCAGATATCCAAATCAGTAGTTCTGGGCCACCTTCTTGACTACCAGTTGTAAGAGACGAGAGGAGAGGAGCGGGGAGGGGAGGGGAGGGGAGGGCAGGGGAGGGGAGGAAGAAAAGGAAGTGGGGGCACCTGGGTGGCTCAGTTGCTTGAGCATCTGACTCTTGATTTTTGATTTCTAATCCCAGGTCATGGGATTGAGCCCCATATTGGGCTCCAGTGGAGCCTGCTTAGGGTTCTCTCTCTCTCCCTCTGCCCCTCTCCCTCACTTGCCCTCACTCTCTCTCAAAAAAGAAACAAAAGAAAAGAAGAGGAACAGGAAAGGAGAGGAGAAACCATACTTGAAAGAAGATACTGAGTCTAAAACACAGCAAGATTTGCTGTCCATATGAAACTAGAATACTATGTCTATAACAGTTTCATTTCCACCAAAAGGTAGCTTCTTTTCTTCAACAAGTGGTTCCATGTGTCAAAATGTTGTTGAAAAGAGAAAACCACACAGCATTCCAGTTTTTCAATTTGTAATCATACAACTGTTTATCAAAGTTAACACTTTACCCACATAATAAGCATGTTATCTCTAAGTAAAAAGCCACAGTAAGAAGCATGTTATCTCTAAGTAAAAAGCCACCACAAGAATGGGGGGGGGGCGAAGAAATGGGAGAAAATTCACAAGCAATGGGAAAAACAAGGGGCGCCTGGGTGGCACAGTTGGTTAAGCATCTGAGTTTGGCTCGGGTCATGATCTCACAGTCCGTGAGTTTGAGCCCCGCATCGGGCCCTGTGCTGACAGCTCAGAGCCTGGAGCTGCTTCGGATTCTGTGTCCCCCTAGCTCTCTGCCCCGTCCCCACTTGCACTCTCTCAAAACTGAGTAAACGTTAAAAAAGTTTTTTTTTTTTAGTTTTTAAAAAAAGAAATGGGAAAAATAAGGAAATAAAAGCTTAAAGCAAACAAACGAGAAACTAAAATGAAATTAAGATGGACAAGAAGTGACGAGAAAAGAGAAAGAAATGAGAGATAATATAAATAAAAGGACAAGCACATGGTGCTGGAAAATATCAAGAACATAAAAGAAATGAAAAGAAAGAAAAAGGGACACATTTTTCTGTGAGGCGTGCGAGACCATGGGGAAACAGAGGCAGGCCAGCCCTGAGCTCTTATATTATCTGTCTTCAGTGCAGACACACCTGCCATCCGGTTGTCTTCCTTTGTGGCACCTCCCTCCACCCATCTCGGGAGCTTCATCTGCCCATGTGACCACAGCTGCTCTCAGGAAACGACCCTTGTAATGCTGACTTGGGTACAAAGGGGGATCGGCCCTGAGGGGTGTCTACACTTGTACAAAGGACAAATCCACAGAGCAATGAAGGCCATCTCCGCTGCTGACCAGCCAGGTCTCAGGGGCTGGTGGAGCTGTCGTTGAAGGAGCCCAGAAGTTTCCAGAGCCCAGGCTCTACGTAAAGACCCACCTGTCAGTAGACACGGACGGGGCTCAGCCTCATAGGCCCCGCTCAGAGGCAGGTCGTGCTGAAGCACAGAGTAACCTCCAGCTAACCTGTCCTGGCCACCGGAGTCGCTGGTTGGTGGCGGGTGAAAACTGAGACTCACAAGAGGTCTGTAGAACTCCCCTTGTCTCCTGTGCTCTTTGCTGCTTGTCACCGAATCCTCCAGCATGGCACATGTAAGGCGACAGGAAATGACCATGAAAACAATTACCCAAAAACCCCGCACACAAGAGGACCCCGGCGTCCTGATGTGCTTGGAACTAGAAAGCACGTCTACTTGAAATAGGGATCAAAATGTTGTCGTTAATAGGGAAGATTCAAATCTTAATAATAGAAATGAAAATAATGAACACCAGTTAACTTTATATTTCTATTCGGTTATGTATTAATTCTCAGCATAAACCGAGAATAGACCACAGTTTGTTCTGTTTAAAAGATTATTTTTTAGAGCAGGGTTAGGGTTACAATAAAACTGAGAGAAAGGTAGAGATTTCCAATATACTTCCTCCCTCCTCCCACACGCCACATCCCCATTATCAACATCCCCTACCAGAATGATACATTTTTTACCAAATATGAACCTATGTTGTCACATCATAATCACCTAGAGTCCATAGTTTATACTGGAGTTCACTTTCAGTGTTGTACATCCTGTGAGTTTGGACAAATGTATAAGGACACATGTCCACCATTATGTCATCTGGAGTATTTTCACATCTCTAAAAATCCTCTGTGCTCTATTTAACCCTCCCTCCCCTCAACCCTTGGCAACCACTCATCGTTTTACTGCCTCCATAGTTTAGCCTTTTCTAGAATGTCATATAGTTGGAACCATATGGAATGTAGCCTTTTCAGATTGGTTTCTTTCACAGAGTAATAAGCATTTTAAGATTTCCCCACATGCTGGGGCACCTGGGTGGCTCAGTCGTTTAAGTATCCAACTTCGGCTCAGGTCATGACCTCACGGTTTGTGGGTTCGAGCCTGGCATTGGGCTCTGTACTGACAGGTCAGAACCTGAAACCTGCTTCAGATTCTGGATTCTGTGTCTCCCTCTCTCTCCACCCCTCCCTTACTCTTGCTCTCTCTCTCTCTCTCTCTCTCTCTCTCAAAAATAAATGGATATTAAAAAAAAGGTTAAGTTTCTTCCATGTGTTTTCATGGTTTGATAGCTCATTTCCTTTTGGGATTGAAGACTATTCCATCGTCTGGATGGACCACAGTTTATTTATCCATTCACCTCCTGAAGGACATCTTAGTTGCTTCTGAGTTTGGGCAACTATGAATAAAGCTGCTGTAAACAATCATGCGCAGGAGTTTGTGTGGACATAAGTTTTAAATTCCTCTGGGCAAATGTCAAGAAGCCTGATTGCTGGATTGTATGGTAAGACACTGACAAGCTGCCTTCCAACGTGGCTGCCCCATCTTACACGCCCACCAGCAACGAATGAGACCTCCATTCCTGTCACACTCTCACCAGCGCTGGCTGTTATCAGGGCACAGGATTTCGTCTGTTCTAATAAATTGATCTGTGTGTTGTTTTTATGTGATTTAATCACAAAATAATATGATGAGAGATTCTCTGTACTGTGTATATGATTTTTCTGACAGGATAGATTATTTTTCAATTTATCTCAGTGCTTCATCACCTTTTCCAAGTACCACTCGATGCCTGGGTACCCAGATACTTCGGGGTATGCTGGTGCCTCCTGCCACTGCCCCAGGCCACCATCACCTCTGCGGCCGCTAATCTCTTCTCCTTCACCACCCTCAGTAGGTAGTGGCCCTGTGTGCAGTTTGAACAGCACTACAATATCACTCATCAATTTCACAAGACCCTTACTCTGTTCACTATAAACTTCAGAAGCCCAGACCTTTGGTATAGACCTTTATACACCACTCTATACTTGGGACCTAGAACAGTACTTGGCATAGAGCAGAGAAGTCAGTATATAACTTTTGAATAAAGAAACTGACTTATAATTTCATCTTGCAGCCGATATGCAGGGTGTACTTACTGACTGGGGGGAGGGGAAGTTACCTCCATAAAACCTCTCATAGTGAGAAATGTGCTCGAAATCATATGTGTAATCCCTGAATGAATTAAGTGTTCTAGGCAATGACCATCAATGTCTGCAAATTCACAAAAGACCATTCATGTCTCCATGATGCCGCACTGGGGGCAGTCGCCTCCCCCAAATAATCCAGTCTGACTCTGCTCAAGCCTCTACACCTAACCACCAATTTACAGAACTACAAAGAGCAGAGAAACATGTCAAATGACCTCTTGGCAAGCAATCCATGGAAAGAGGACAAACACGAAACTCCTCAGCTCCCAACAGGATCTCCCCAATCCCTGAAAACCAAGTTTGGAACCTGTGGTGCTGTCCAATCCTCCTCTCTTCTCCTCTATTCATTCAAAATTCTGGAAGGAATTCACTGCTCCCAACTCTGCCTCATTTCTCCTGGTTCCACACACCAAGGCACATCCTCCAACAGTGCAAGCCACGCCTGTTCCTGACCCTGAGTCCTAGATGCTACGTCCTCCTGGACACTCTTTGCCTTCTGTGACCCTGCACATTTCTGTTGTCCTCTCTCCTTTCCGACCTTCCTCCATAGACTTATTCAGGGTCCTTTTTTCTCTGCTGGTCTTTTAAAACGTTGTTCTCCCCCAAGATTCCAACACTTGTCCCCCTCCACTCTCCATCCCTGGTGATCCCCCACCTTGCAATTTTCAAGTTGTATGTGCAGAGTCCAAATCCACAGCCCCTGCTCTCCGTCAGACCTCTCTCCAGGGTTTCTAAAGCACAAGACAATAACTTGCTCTTATGATGTTTAAAATAGGCTAAAAATTAAACAGCCAGAATTGTCCCAAGCTATCTGCAGGAGCACTACCAT